AGAGAGAGAGAGAGATACGGCATCAGAGATTTAGAAATTTACCAATAAACCCTACCGGGTTGGGTAGTCGGCAAGTCATAAAGGAGAGTCAAGCCACCATATGGCTAAATTCAATTGCGGAGGGAGTCGCCATTGGGAACCGGACCGTTTGTGTGGTTAGGGGTCAGTGAGTTTGATGCAGTGTGGTATGACACTGTGCTTTCTCCACTACTACCAGAGTTCGTGGAGGCGATGGCTCCCCTAGGAGCAGTGTTGTCTGGCTCGTTCACAGTCGGAGGCTCCCTCTCTCTAGTAGTATCTCGAGTATCGCGAGATGACGGCGAGACATCACGCGAGTGAGAGTGAGATCGACTGGTGGTGGGAGTCTGGTTTGGGTCGGATGGGCGCACTAGGGAAGAGACTTGCATTTGTGTCTGGGCGGGGGCTGGAGGTTGGCTTCCTTGCTGCTGTTGCTTTGAGATAGGGCTGGGATTAGCATGCGCAGTGCTATTATTCCTAGTGTTGATCTTGAAAGTATACTCCCCGGCTGAGCGGGCTTGAGCGGCCGAACTGCTTTGCCGGCGCCTCTCCGCACCAGCTCCGGAGTGTGAGCGATTCCGAGGGGTACGGCCGGTCTGAGAAGTAGTCTCGTCCGTAGTAGCAACCTCTGAAAGCTGCGATGGAGGAGGTGGAATGGGAGCATGAGAGCTTTGCGCTTTCCGCTTCTTAGGTGACTGCTGATATTCATTTCGAAGATGGTGAGGTTGGGATGAGGAGGCGGAGGCCGGGTGGCCGGAGTGTGGAGAGCTGTTGGGGCTTTTACCTGCAGGGGTGGTTGGCTGAGATTGTGGAGGAACCCAATGGTGGAACGAGATAGAAGGGGAGGTCTGTTGGACTTGATGAGCAGCCGTAGTAGAATCTTGCTTTGCAGAGGTAGATTGAGAGGAAGATGGATGGGAGTGTGAGAGGGATGACTGGGTGTTCGCGCTCATGGCCCCGGAAGATGGGGCTGAGTTGTTCCTTTGTTGAATGGGATGGTGCATGTCAGAAGCCGTAGACAGGCGTGGAAGAGATTCGGTGTTCATCTGAGGCTGGTGATGCGCTGGATTGGGAGCGTATATAGTGATTGGCGGATGTGATGGTGGCGGGGAAGGTTGTTGCGGGTGATGTTGATGCGGTGGCCGCGGTTGATGGTGGTGTGGCGGAGGATGTTGCTGCTGCTGCTGCTGCTGCTGCTGCTGCTGATGATGCTGTTGGTTATGATGTGGTTGTGGTTGATGCTGTTGCGGATGCTGCTGGTGTTGCTGATGCTGACCAGCAGGTATAGAGAGCCTAGGGGCGGAAATGGCATATGGATTAGGCGCTATTTCACGGTTCTCGGATGCTTCTATGGGACTCTGTTTGGGACGGGGTATAAACTCGGGAAACTGAGAGATATGCTTTAGGGGCTGCTGCTGCTGCGGATGCGGATGCGGCGGCGGCGGTGGTTGAGGGGGCTGCTGTGATGACTGCTGGAACGCAGGAGGAGGTGGAGGGGGTGGTGGTGGCCGATACTGCTGGGTATACTGATCATGCCTTTGTTGCTGGACCGGATATGGGCTTGAACTTGGATTGTGTCCATTATTCTGGGTCATCTGTAGGATATATTGCTGAGCCCATTGAGCATGAGGCCCTGCTAGTCCTATAAACACCAGAGGTACCATGTGAGGCGGGACATTGGAGCTGAGCGTATCTTGTAGCATCTTCTGCTCGATCTTGCGCTGATCGAGCTTAAGAGCTTCCTGCCGGGTGCGTTCCTCTTCCTGCTTGCGCTTATCCTCTTCGACCTTTGCCTGCAGCCATTGGCGCATTGCATCGTCCTGGCCGTCTCGGCTCCACCCATCACGGCCATGGTTACCACCACCAGGGACATGCTGATGCGAGTGCGTTGGCGGTGGAGGCAGAGGCATGCTGCCAGTACCGCCGTTGGAGCCACTGGAGCCGCCGTGAGAGGCCGCGGACGTCATATCTGTGACGGTGAGGCCCATGGCGGCTGGGGGAGGCAGGCTCCTGTGCGAGTCCATCTGACGGCGAGCTGGAGCTGATGACAACGGCGATGGAGGCGGCGACGGCGACGGCGACGGAGACGGGTGAGGATGCTTCTGATATGCGTATGCTGGCTTTGTGCGTGTGCACTCGTCAAGAGCCAGAGCGCCGTTGCGAGAGGAGGTCTTGAGGGTGAGCAGCATGGAGAGCTCTAGTCATGGGTCAATTCTCTCTACCTCTGCGTCTCTCTTGCTTCTTCTTCTTCTTCTTATTCTGCTTCCGTGACAGTGCTGCCCTGTGTGCGTTGTTTTGTTTCTGGTCTATCTTCGAGCCCTTATAGTTTTTCCCTTCCCGGGGTGTAATAGCGTACTTTTTGCGGACGGGTGGATTCTTAGATTTTGTGCTTCAACGTCTGAGGCGGACGTCGTGTTATCTATCCCAGGACAAGGAGGCCAGCCCATCACCGTTGTTCAGGTCAACATTCGACTTGCCGCAGTTCGTGCGTGTGATGGGCCCTTTGGTGTAATTATAGCAAGGAGGAATGGGAGAACCGGAGGTTGCGCCGGGCAGAAAGAACCCTGCCCATATAATCCGCAAGTCGCAGCACCTCATCCCAGGCCGTTTTGCCTTCCTCCCTCACCTTCCCTTTCTTCAGAGTCCACCTTTTTTTCCTCATCTCTTCTTCTCGTCTTCTCTCCTCCTCTTTGCTTTTTTGCTCTCCTTTTTTTCTTTTCTTTTTCGTTGCTTTTTTTTTTTTTCTTTTGCGCTCTGGCTCGTATGTTTTCCATCTCGCAGACGCAAAATCCTCATACAAGCGTCGCCGTATTTGGAATACGCACCGAGGCGGCGGTACAGCACGGGGCAGCCCAGGACGCTACCCTATTGGTCAGAGCGGCTCCACTTCCTCTTTTGGAAAACCTTGACTGGACTTCGTTCTTGTTTTACACTACAGAGGACCGTGATAGTCTCAGGATAGCAAAGCAGAAGAAAAAAGAGTAGGTGTGATCACTAAAAAACAGCAGATAATTATTTTACCGTAGCCGCATCCGCACCCAGCTCTCCCGCAGCCGGCCAGATATTAACGGAGTATTACAGAGCAATGGCGGTAAAAAAACACGCTGGGAACAAGGGACTGTATTCTTGGGCGACCGCGGGAAGCTTCCCAATCGGGTCAAGCGCTCGGGCTTTGTCAGGGACCCATATTTGTCCAAATGCGGAAGGCGGACCGGGCCCTTCTTGGCACCACCTTTCCTTTTTCGGCGTGGAAGGTACAGCCGAGGTTGCTCAGCCCTTCCCACTTGCCGCTTTAGGAAGTTTTGTCACAGCCACGATGCAATAACACAAAAAAAAAAAAAAAAAAACACAGAGACCAGAGACAGGCCCAAAGCCAGCGCAACAAACAATAATAATAACAACGCCAGCGCGCGCAGGATACATATAGAAAGGAGCCCCGTCTAAATTTAGAGAAAGGCACATACTCCGTACATAGTGCGGGCATGCTGGACGTCGTTCGCCGCAGAGAAGAACAGACGCTGAGAACGGGTGGACGCCCCAGATGCAGGTACTCTTCTTCTGCACCTCACATATGATCGCAGACCGTTGGCCTGGGG